TGGGCCCAATTCCTAACGCCTCCAAAATATCGACAGGATTACCACCAATACCTACGCTCGCCTACTTTTTTGCAGGAGAAGCAATGATCTTAATTCATTGTCCCTTCCTTCTCTGCAGGAATGAATCCCATTTGGTCTAAGTGTATCCAATCCGGCATCAATGTTTTCATCCTTGTTGCTAATACCCCGACATATAATTTTGTGTCTATGTTTAATAAAGATATAGGTCTGTAACTGGCACACTAGGACCAGTCTTTCCCTCCTTAGGTATGATTGTGATATAGGCCTGTAGTGACTCCCCTCTTAATGCACTCTTATATACATATATTTATACACACACATTTTATATATGTACACACTTTTAGGGACAGGTTTTTTTAAATTTCCTATATCCCACTGTAAATCCATCTGATCCAGGGCTCCTTCCTGTAACTGTACTCTTCAATGCTAGAATTTCCTCTTGTGAAATTAATTTATCTAAAGGCTGTTAATCTGGCTTCATCTAATCTTGGTAGCTCAGCCTTTTCCCTTTCTTTCTGGTTCTTAAATTTTGCTCCATATAGACTACTATAATATTTTTGAAATGTATTGGCGATATCAGTGGTTGAATGTACTATTTGTCCTCTTTCATCTTATATTTTTTCTATGAAATTCTTCAATTTCTTTTCCCTTAACTTTTTTTGTTAGATATTTTCTTGGTCTAATCCCCCACTGATATATCTTTCCTTTGGGACCCTATTAAAGCTCCTGTTCTGTTTCTTGTTCCACAAGATCCTTTAACTCCTCTTTTTAAAATTATCTCCTGCTGTATATCTGAATCCATTTTCTTTTTATGCGATTGTTCCAACTTATATAATTCCTCTGTTTATTGCCTTATTTTCTTCCCCCATTTTTATTTTTTTTTGCCCCTATTGAAATCAGGATTCCCCTAATATATGCCTTATGGGCTTTCCATACTGTAGCAACAGATTCGGTCTCATTAAACATAAAATATTGTTCAATTTCTCTCTTTAATCTTATTTCCGTTTCAGTGTCTTGTAAACGTATCTTATTTAAAAATCACCACAGTTATTTTGTTCCGCTCTCCGCCAAACCATAATCTCATTGTGATGGGTGCATGGTCAGATATAAATATTACTTCTATATTAGATTTCACCAAAGACTCACAAAGAGTCTATGTTCAATCATTATATAGTCCAGTCATGAATACATCCCATGTGCCAAGGAGAAGGTATAGTCTCTTTCTCTTGGATGTTTAACTCTCCATGCATCCATCAGTTGACAGTGATGCAACATCTTTTTAACATACTTTAGACTCCTACCTCCCTCTCGTCACACATGACGCATCCATCCCCAGATCCATGCAAAAATTAAAATCTCCTGCCACAATCAGACTACACCTCTTAAAGTCTAAGTTTTCTTAGTATCCCTTCCAGGTTATCACTAAAAATTTTTATTAGGACAATAAAGGTTTGCTAAAAGTACATTCAAAGCCCTGTAGATTTCCTCTCAGAAATATTTGCTATTCCTTTTGCTCATTTCATTGGTGAATCCGCACAATACCAAGCTGGATAATATTTAGAGTATAACTTGACATTTGTATCTTGGGATATATGTGTCTCTTGAAGAAACATCACTTCAATAGAGCGTTGGTGCATTTCCCTTAGGATCTTATGCCTAAGATCACATTATATGTCATAAAATGGATCATATCTATTCCTTCTTCTGTATCTGTTCTCCTCTATAGGGGTGTGGGTATAAGCAATTTGGAACAAGAAGACCTCCTCCATATACTCCCCTTTCCCCCCATCCTCCTCCTCACCAATCCCCCACCCCCTCTCAATTCCTCTTCTTTAAAAATCCATTGGCCAAAATTCTTGCTCTAGAATCATTTGTGATTTATCACCACTGTCGATGCTTCTTCCAGGGTAAGGCTCTAAACACACACACATCCATACAGACCCCCATCTCTAATCTTTTGCCTCCTGACAACCTGCCATAATTTTAACTAAATTCTCTCTCTCAAATCTCTTCCCTTTCCTACCTAGTCCTCTTACTGTATCAACCAATCTACCTGTCCGATGTCGCCTACTTCCTTACCACGGGAGCTCATATTAATCTGTCCTCAAGAAAGGAAACCTTCAACACAAGAAAATTGAGAAGGGAGAGATGGGGGGGGGAGGGAAAAAAAATAAAATAAAAACCACCACCTCCTATAATGCTTCTATTACAGTCTCTCTTTGGAAAGTCGTTGCCATTTCTCTTTTTCTACCACTATGTTCTCTTTAACCCCTTCAGACCATCCTGTAATGTCCAGGGTCTTTAAATCTAATCACAAAAGTCCCTTAAATCTTCTGGGAATCTCAATCTTGCCGATTTTCCATCTTTCCACCCAATCAGACATGCTGGAAATTCCCAATTGTAACAGATGTTCTTTTCCCTCATCTGGTCCAGCAATTGTTTCAGGGATCTTCTTTTGGCAAGTGTCTCAAGTGCAATGCCTGGAAAGATTTGCAACTTTGTTTCTCTATGTTTTATTTCTGGGATCCCACGCAACTTCTTCCAGATATTCACTATGTGATATTGCCATTTCATTCTTTATGGAGTTCTCTAATTTTGCAAACATTTCTGTGATTTCCATTTGCGGCCTTGCTTCTTGCTCTTCCATATTTCATTTTTTTTCTGTTTCGCTTTCCGTATTTGTGGGTTCTCTGATCGGATTCCTATTCAATACCCCAAAAGACAGTCTAGTTTGATCTCCAGTTCGATTTGCTTCATGTTGTCACTCCAGGATTTGGTCCTCTGGGCTTTTCTCCTGTGAAGGCATATATTTCCATATTGTGCTTGTATTTAAACTTGATTGGGGAGTTTTTGTTCCTCCCTCCTTGACAGATCTGCTCTTCATATCGTTAAAATTATACAGTTAATGTTAGAACTTCAAGTGGATTATTATTTCCAGTTTTCCCAGTACTATAATTAATTTCCAGTTAAGGTATTTCTCTTTTCTTTTTCAGTGGTATATTATCAGGTATACTAGTCAGACATTCAAACTCTTCCTCATGTACCCCATTCAGATTTTCTTTTTTAAGATTACAGTTCTGAAATGTGCACCCTCTCCTTCTGCTAAACTTCCTGGGTGCCCTCTCCTGTCTTTGATATCTCTATGTTTTCACAGTCCCAACAACCTCCGAGACCCCTAGCAAGCCTCTTTTACATCCACACTCTTTTCAACCACCGTTTACAGCAGACCTAGGGATTTACCACCTCCCATGACAACACACTATCTCCGCCCATCCTCAGGGTCCTCCAACCAGGGCTTCAAATGCTGACTGTATGCCTTCAGGGGTCTCAGGTGATGTAAGGGGGCCACCCTATATGAAAACCACCACTTCACTGACTCTCGTCAAGCTCCAACATGGTCTTTCCTCGGCGGCATCTCTCCGGTCTCTCAGGGCTCCAGGGTTCCCTGCTGCTGTCACCTGAGCATTCCCAGTGCCTCTTTTCTGCACTGGCCTCCTCCTCCCTATTGGCTACTAATCTGGGACTGTGGACTCCAACAACCAGAGCCGGCAGCTGCACGGGGCATGCGAGACAGCTCAAACCGAACTAGGTAGGACCTAATTTAGATTTTTTTTCTCTTCATTATTATCCGGCGCTCGTCTAGAGCTCCTAAAACATTTGACCTCTAAGTGCCATGATTACATCCCTCCCCCTAAAACACAGTCACATACTTATTTTTCATGTTTCTTGCTGCGCCTAGCTCAAGTACAATCAACTTTAGCGTGGTCTACCAGGAATTCAAACTCATGACCTCACGATTGTTACAATGGCGCATTTAATCACAGTGTTACCGTCAGAACTATAACTATGGTATTTTTTAGCTAGTAGTATGACCACTGCAGGGCTATACCCCTGCTTTATAATTGGGGCTGTCAGAACTAGGATCTGAACCAATAACTTCTGCTGCATCAGCTTTCCATTCTGAGCCACCCGAGATGCGGTCATCCCTTTTTATACCGGTAAAAATTAAACGTCCCGATTTAACTTGAACGCCCCTCGTAACAGTAAAGCATTGCTCAAAAATGCAACCTATCACTTAAAGTGGTTCTTTGACTTATTTGAAAAAAAAAAAAAAGTCAGCAGCTACAAATACTGTAGTTGCGGACTTTAAATAAAAAAGGCCATTCACCTGTCTGGGGATACAGAGCAGACCTCTCCTGAACAGGGACTTCACCAGTCTTCGGGTCCCCAGCACCGACAAGGTTTACTGGGGGCAGCCAGCTGTGCTCCCTTGAGGCTTCACAGCTGGCTGCTCACTGCATGTGATTTGTGAATGGTCCTACAGCCTTCTGAGACCTACACAGTGTCCCAAAAGGTTACGAGGTGGGGAATAGGTGGAAATATTCTGGTGGATCAATGCAGTGATCCAATCAGGAGTGGGAACCTGTCAAAACAAGGAACCCACTCCCCCCCCTCCAAAATATAAAAGTGGCAAAAACAGAAGAGGGGGCATAAAGTGTTAACGTCCCCTTTAGGGTGAAGTTCTGCCTTATGGATTATCCTTTTTAAGTATGGCTAGACAAATTATTTTCAAAGGGAAAGCAATGATGATCTAACAGAGTGGTGGCATTGCCTCTACACGAGGTCAACATCTTCAATGTACAAATGGAGAATAAAAAAAACATAAAACAAACAAATCTCCAGACTCTTGGCCTTTCCAAGCTTTAGAATTAAAAAAACAAGCAGTTGCATCTCTTTAGCCACATTGTACCCTGGGGTACAAGGATAATAGAACATGTTACTCATCCTAAAACAAGCAATCTTTGTTTACATACTATTTTGCTTTTATTACACCCCGAAAAAATTAAATAAAAAAAAAAAAAAAAAAAAAAATATATAAAAAAAACACTCTACTGGGGTAGTTGATATGACAGTTATTTTATACACCAGTTTTTTACAAAAAGGCATATTTCATTCATCAGAAAGTATTTGGAACTTACATCTGTTTCATTATCCTGTTCCTCTTCTTTAATTTTTATACTTTTTTGTGCTTCAGAACTGGACTGCTTCATATTGCAATACTGCTTGCATACCTGTACCTTTTTAGGAAGTTCATTTGTCAGGTAGGACTTTTTTTTCCTCTTAGTGGAGACTTGGTCATAACTGAGATATGACTCAAATGACATAGTGGGAGCTTCAAATTCCTCACTGGACAACATCTCTGCTGTTTTCGCCATACTTTGCGGGAAGCTGCTGTGACCTACATCATTTTTATTATGCCTGCTTTGCTCAGAAGGGCTCTCTTCATTTTTTGTATAGACCTTTTTCTTTTCATTGCTAGATGAATGAGAATATTTTTCAATCTTTTTTTCCGAGAACTGGAAACTTTTTGACTTTTCACCTTTTGAGGGAAAATCGGAGTAAGATTTCTCTGCCCTGCATTCTTTGCCTTGAAGAACTTTCTTGGGTTTCAACTCTTTTAATTCGGGTTTCTTTTCATACACTTTGATGTTGCTTAGTTTTATTGGATGTATTTTTGTGGGCATCAGTTTGAGGTTTAGGTAACTCTTCATTCCAGTGATAATTTTCATTTGAATTCAACAACTTTTCCATTACAGCTTCTTTTTTATTTAGTTTTGAAATCACTGGCTTGCTTTCTAAAGTCATATTTTGCTCATGCTTAAGCATGGACTTCTCATCACTATTAAAAAAAAACAAATAAAAATTTGGTTTAGAATTTGAATTATTTAAAATGTAAATTTGAGATCTATTGTGAACATGTGTACTGATAGAAACCCATAGCCATCTACATAGACACATATATATTTAGGAAGTATTTGTGAGCAAAATCCTTTATTATATCTAGAGCAGTAGAGGGTGAGATGTTCTATAGTCCAGGAAAGGAGAGCTCAGGCAAGGGTTACAGCACTGCTTGGGTGGGATGTGCGATTAGTTTCATTACGAATCAAAATCTGGACAAAAATGTTCGTTATTCAGAGATTTGGGTGTATCTGACTCTGCAAATCACAGTACTAATGAATTTGCACAAATCCAAAATAAATTGTAACAAAACAATAAAATTCAAATTTATTCATTCGTGTCATTCGGATGACAGGATTCAAAAATTTTGGCTTTTTGTTAATGTTTTAAGCATCAGAAATAATGTAAACAGCATAACAAATGATCTGAATTTATTCAGATTCATTTCGTTTTTATTTTACATGGACATTTTTCATTAATGTAAAAAAATGCACTACATAAGAAAACAATGTATTACAATAACTACAGTAAGGTATAAAAGTGAAATAAAATTTTTCCTATTTATTGTGTTTGGGTTGGATGAAGGTGGATCCATCAAAATTTCCTAATCCTAACACGTTAAAATGAATATAGCCAATATTCCAAAATAACTTCCAAAAATATAAATAGTTGCGGAAACAACGGATGAACCAAAATAATCCAAATATATGAAACAAATTCCAAAAATAAACATAATACATCTAATAAAAAAGTCTAACAAATATCGGGAAAGAAAATTATTTACTTAACAAATTAATCTGAAATTAAACTAAACTAATGTTTTCATTGTGCAGATCACTATGGTCACATTTTTTTAAACCTACTACAGGACAATTTTATGGTACAGTCCATAGAGGTCCCAACTAGAAATTATGCTCTGCTGGACCTGGTAATCTCAAACCATGCAGAGCTTATTATGAATGTCCATATAAAAGAATATCTGGGTAGCAGTGACCATAACATGATTTCATTTTATTGTTAGATGTAAACAGCGAGCACATACGAGAAAAATAATAACGCTCAATTTTAAGAGCTAATTTTCCAAGGCTGCTCTCCAAGACGTAGACTGGGAAGGAATATTGGCATCGATGTTGTTCAAAAAGACTGTATGTGAACACACTGCAAAGTATATTCTCATGGGCAACAAGTTTAAAAGGCTAAAAAAAAAAAAAATCAAACCTGTGGCTTACAGTCAAAGTTAAAAAAGCTATAGTTAAGAAAAGAACTTTTATTAAATATAAAAATGAAGGAACACTATCATTTAAACATTACAAAGAATATAACAAAATACGCAAAAAGGAAATAAAGGCCACAGAAATTGAAAACTATCTACAGATTCCAAAAGATAGCAGGACCAACCCCAAAAAAAAAAAATCTTCAAATATATAAATAGTGAAAAAGGTCCAGTACGAGCATGTTGGCCCTTTAGAAAATAATATAGAGTGGGTGACTGGGGATAAAGAGAAGGAAATTTTATTAAATACCTTCTTCAGCCCTGTGTATACAAATGAGCATGGGGGAGCTCTTGTCCATAATAATGATATTGACACAGCTCCAGTTGATCCACGTTGGCTCACAATTGATAGGATTCAAAAATATTTAGACAGAATAAAAAGATGAATAAAGAACCTGGATTGGATGGCATACACCCACGGGTCCTTAAAGAATTGAGCTCTGTCATTTCAAAGCCATGGTTTCTATTTTTAGGGACTCTTTAATGACTGGCATAGTGTGCCACTGGATTGGCGAAAGGCCAATATTTAAAAAGGGTCAAAATCTTTACCACGTAAATATAGATCTGTTAGTTTAACTTCTATAGCTGGGAAGATACTGGAGAGTTTAATACAAGACCACATAGATGAGTTCTTGCTGGAAAAAAATATGTTAAGCAACAGACAGCATGGATTCATGAAAGACAGAAGTTGTCAAACAAATCTGATTTCTTTTTATGAGGAGGTGAGCAAAACCTTGGACAGAGGGATGGCGGTGGACGTGGTATACTTGGATTTTGCAAAAGCGTTTGACACAGCTCCCCACACACAGCTAATGTGTAAGGTAAAGTCTACAGGCTTGGAAAAATCTGTATATAAATGGGTAGAAAATTGGCTAAAAGATCATATTCAGAATAGTGGTTAATGATTCATACTGGTCTAGGGTTGTCAGTGATGTACTCCAAGGTTCAGTGTTGGGACCCTTAGTTTTTAATATATTTATAAATGATATAAGATTATAAATCCCATTTCAGTCTTTGCAGAAGACACCAAGCTGTGCAGTGGAATAATGTCCTTACAGGATGTCTCCAACTTACAAGTTGACCTCAATGCACTGTTTAATTGGGCAACTATGTGGCAAATGAGATTCAATGTTGATAAATGTAAGGTTATGCACTTGGGGGCTAAGAATAAAGTGAGCAAAATCCTCTCTTGTATAAAAAAAAAAAAAAAAAAAAAAAAAAAAAAGAAGAGGTATAGACTCTAGAGAGAGTGTGACGAGAGTGACTTTGGGTGGGGGGCCCATGGAACACAGCTCAATTTGGAGGGGTGGGGAGACCCCTGTCTCAGCTCCCCATATCCCTCCTATGTGTAAGTCACCCTGTGCCTGTTAGGGGTACAGGGTGGATTGTCCTGATATTGTGTAGACATGTATAGGTGGGGCGTGGGGGTTGTTCATAGTTTACTGCCATGTGGTGCATCCCATTGTTCTATTGTGTGTCTTGCTTGGAGCAAACTATTATGGGATGTATGTGTTTGTGTATTGGCTTGGTGGGGGGTGTCTGCTGATGTGTCTCTGGTTGCTAGTTTTGTTTTGCCTCGCCCTGTGTCCTTATGCAGGGAGGTGGATTGTTCCCTTGAATGTTTATATCTTGTGTCTGTGTTAAAATAAAGCAGTCTATTTCCTGATTTTACTTCGAGTGGTGTCCATGGATCTGTGTTCAGACAGGGAAGCAGGAGTTTAAGGGAAATACCCTACTGCAGTCGGGGTCCGGTTCTGTTACAGAGAGATATCATATTACCCCTGTACAAATCATTATTAACACCTAATCTGGAATATGCAGTTCAATTTTGGGCACCAATTCACAAAACGAACATTGAGGAACTGGAGAAAGTGAAGGGCAGAGAAGGGCAACCAAACTGATAAGAGTCATGGAGAAGCTCAGTTATGAGGAAAGATTAGAGGAACTGAATTTATTCTCTCTTGAGAAGAGGAGATTAAGGAGGATATGATCAACATGTATAAATATATCAGTGGTTCATATAGTGAACTCGGTGTAGAGTTATTCACACAGAGGACAAGGGGGCACTCTTTACATCTGGAGGAAAAGAAATGTAATATCCAAATACGGAAAGGTTTCTTCACAGTAAGAGCTGTCAAAATGTGGAATAGACTCCCTCAAGAGTTGGTTCTGGCCAGCTCAGTGGATTGCTTTAAAAAAGGCCTGGATTCCTTCTTGGATACACAGAATGTAACTGGTTACTATTTATAGGTAAAATTGATCCAGGGAATATCCGATTGCCTCTCTGGGGATCAAGAAGGAATTTTTCCCCTGCAGGAACAAATTGGATCATGCTTTGCTGGGTTTTTTGCCTTCCTTTGGATCAACTGTGGGTATGGGATTATAACTTTTTTTTTTTTATGGTTAAACTGGATGTCATTTTTCAGCCAGACTAACTATGTAGCTCACTACATATATTTAGGAGCTCACCAGATTTCTGGACAGAATCAACACATTTTTTTGTATTTGCAGAATTTATATAGGAAATTACCATGTACTGCAGATATTAACTGAATGTTATTAAGTGTTCTTGCATGGCAAGACCACTTACTGTTATCTCACATATATATTATTATTATAGCCAAATTTACCACCCTAACTCCTCCCACAGTTTTTACACTACATAGACAAGTAATATGTAACGTGCGGATTGTTCCCGATTGGTGTGCTATTAGTTTGTGGAACGTTTCGCCGAATGGTTCACGAAATATCAGCATTTTTGTGGTGAAATTGGTCCCATAGGAATGAATGGCAGAATGTTCAAAACTAAAGTGGGAGCTGACAAAAGCTAGAGTGTGAGCTGCAAAATCAGGACATTATTTCTAAACTGCCATCACTCCCTCATTTTCAAGCCCACCTACACATACAGTCAGGTCCATAAATATTGGGACATCGACACAATTCTAACCTTTTCTGGCTCTATACACCACCACAATGGATTTGAAATGAAACAAACAAGATGTGCTTTAACTGCAGACTGTCAGCTTTAATTTGAGGGTATTTACATCCAAATCAGGTGAACGGCGTAGGAGTTACAACAGTTTGCATATGTGCCTCCCACTTGTTAAGGGACCAAAAGTAATGGGACAGAATAATAACCATAAATCAAACTTTCACTTTTTAATACTTGGTTGAAAATCCTAGACATCACCAGACGCTGGGTTTCTCCCTGGTGATGCTCTGCCAGGCCTTTACTGCAACTATCTTCTGTTCCTGCTTGTTCTTGGGACATTTTCCCTTCAGTTTTGTCTTCAGCAAGTAAAATGCATGCTCAATCGAATTCAGGTCAGGTGATTGACTTGGTCATTGCATAACATTCCACTTCTTTCCCTTAAAAAACTCTTTGGTTGCTTTTGCAGTATGCTTTGGGTCATTGTCCATTTGTACTGTGAAGCGGCGTCCAATGAGTTCTGAAGAATTTGGCTGAATATGAGCAGATAATATTGCCCGAAACACTTCAGAATTCATCCTGCTGCTTTTGTCAGCAGTCACATCATCAATAAATACAAGAGAACCAGTTCCATTGGCAGCCATACATGCCCACGCCATGACACTACCACCACCATGCTTCACTGATGAGGTGGTATGCTTAGGATCATGAGCAGTTCCTTTCCTTCTCCATATTCTTCTCTTCCCATCTCTCTGGTACAAGTTGATCTTGGTCTCATCTGTCCATAGGATGTTGTTCCAGAACTGTGAAGGCTTTTTTAGATGTTGTTTGGCAAACTCTAATCTGGCCTTCCTGTTTTTGAGGCTCACCACTGGTTTACATCTTGTGGTGAACCCTCTGTATTCACTCTGGTGAACTCTTCTCTTGATTGTTGACTTTGACACACATACACCTACCTCCTGGAGAGTGTTCTTCATCTGACAAATGTTGTGAAGGGTGTTTTCTTCACCAGGGAAAGAATTCTTCGGTCATCCACCACAGTTGTTTTCCGTGGTCTTCCGGGTCTTTTGGTGTTGCTGAGCTCACCGGTGCGTTCCTTCTTTTTTAAGAATGTTCCAATCAGTTGTTTTGGCCACGCCTAATGTTTTTGCTCTCTCTCTGATGGGTTTGTTTTGTTTTTTCAGCCTAATGATGGCTTGCTTAACTGATAGTGACAGCTCTTTGGATCTCATCTTGAGAGCTGACAGCAACAAATTCCAAATGCAAATAGCACACTTGAAATTAACTCTGGACCTTTTATCTGCTCATTGTAATTGGGATAATGAGGGAATAACACACTTGGCCATGGAACAGCTGAGAAGCCAATTATCCCATTACTTTTGGTCCCTTAACAAGTGGGAGGCACATATGCAAACTGTTGTAATTCCTACACCGTTCACCTGATTTGGATGTAAATACCCTCAAATTAAACCTGACAGTCTGCAGTTAAAGCACATTTTATTTGTTTCATTTCAAATCCATTGTGGTGGTGTATACAGCCAAAAATGTTAGAATTGTGTCAATGTCCCAATATTTATGGACCTGACTGTATCTTATATCAAAACGTTCAGCTATCCCTGCTGCCACTAAAAATGTCCATGGCTAAGCCATAGTCCTGATAGTTTTCACAATATGACCATTTGTTTGCAACTTACGCCGCCCATTGACATTCATTGAAAATTTACTCTAGACACCTGAAATTTGAAGGGAAATTTTTAAACTGCGATTGTGCCTATAGTTTAAATATTTCAGAGACATACTATGCATCAAAATGTAGGTCTGGGTCTTGTGATTCTCACAATATAAAGCTCTTCACTGTAGTATAGTTTTAAAACTACAACCGTTTGAAGATGGCAACCGCCAGTGAAGTGAGCAAGTTGGAGCAGTTTGTTTTTAACCGCCCCTCTGCTCTTGCTGTAGAGTGAGTTGCCATAGGAACCCAGGTGTGGGAGCAGGCAGCAGAGTGACAAAAGCTACTCTGCCCAGTCAAGTTGTGGACTACTGGTGGAGGCAAGAACACTTCACACAATTTCCCCATGAATTGTAGATTTTCTAGTTTTTTTTGTTGTCCAGATGCACAGTTTAAAGCATATCTAAAAACCCTATAACAAAAATGTGATATTACAGCTTGCCAGCTCTTTGCTCCCCTTAACCATTTGCCCTCCACAGGATTTACCCACTTTCCTGACCAGGCCATTTTTTTGCATTACGGCGCTGTGTTACTTTAACTGACAATTTTGCGGTCGTGCAATGCTGCACCCCAAATTACTTTCTTTTTTGCCCACAAATAGAGCTTTATTTCAGTGGTATTTGATTGCCTGTGCGGTTTTTTTATTTTTTGCGCTATAAAAAACCCAATATTTTTTACTTTTTGCTAAACATGTCCAGTAAAAAGAATTTTGAGAATCAAATTTCAGCATAAATATAGGCCAAAATGTATTCGGCTACATGTCTTTGCTAAAAAAAAAAATCCCAGTACATGTAAATTAATTAGATTACGTGAAAGTTATAGCATTCACAAATGGCGGTATATATACACTGGGATTTTTTTCTTTATTTTTACTAGTAAAAACGGCAATCAGCAACTTATAGCGGAACTGCGGAGCCATTCTGACACTGGGGGAAACTGACTTGATGTCACTGACATCCCCAGTGACACCAATACAGTGATCAGTGCTAATAAAAAAGCACTGACACTATACTAACAGCACTGGGCAGGAAGGGGTGATCAAAGGGTTAACTGTGTGCGTTGCACTGTAAGCACACACTGCTTTGCATAGCAGTGTGCAGGAGCCGACAGGGGAAAGAACTGTATTGTTTACTTAGTTCTCTCCCTCTGTCGGTAATGCTCCTCGATCACCGGGTGCTGGTGAGTAATTACTGGCCGGGACCCGGTGATTGACAGCCGAGGTCGCGAATAACAGCCCGGGTAGTACTTGCGCACGCCCCAGAAAAGCAAAAACACACACGTGATTTTGCGCACCTTTGTCACCCTGTAGCAGCATTACTGCTATAGGGTGGACGGAAAGCAGTTAAGGATACTCACCCTCTCCATTTGTCCTGTTTACCATTGTCCGTGAAAAAAAAATCATACATTTTGTTTGCAGAAAAAGTATTAGAGCGGAAATCCTCCAATGGTGACACTAGTTCTGGTGACCTGGGGGTCCCCAAGGAACTCCTTAAATTTGAAGGGATTTCTGCTCACTTCCCATTTGATTATGGGACAGTAAGTGAAGGGAAATCTCTGCACTAGGACATAGATGGCAGAAAAAAAATCTTTACTCTATCCAAAATGAAAATAAAAATGTTGCCTATATTTCTACTTTAATGTGGTGGCTGCATTCGTTTTTCACACAAGCTTTTTAATGTTTGTTTTCACCTGGTAATCCTGGGAAAATACACTTCTTGTCCTTGAGTGGCTAACTCACTTCCCCACTGCATCTATGGAGGAAGCAATGATTACCACCCAGGCTGGAGTTTAAACATGTCTGCCTTTGCTCATCTCCTATAAAATTAGTGAGAGATATTAGTAGGTTTTCATAAGAAAGATTGTTTTGAACTTCCAGTTCAACTCACAAGAAATAGGAAGAACTTGCATTTCTGGCAAGATTGGCAGGTATTTTAAAACGTACTTCCTGAAAATGTTCTTAGCTGGAAAAACCCCCCCCCAAAAAATAAATAAAATTAATATGCAGACACCTTATCTAGGGTCTAGTGAGATGCAAAATATTTACATTTTTGCTCTTTGGTTTAGTTATCTTTTATTATACAGGAATTGAAATGTTTATCATTTGCTGAAAACCCTTTTTTTTTCTTGATGGCTGACTGGAAAATAAAGCCGAATGCCAGGAATTCAGATGTTTTGAAAAAAGTGAAGGCACGTTAAGCCCAGGAGGTGTCATGCAGGTCTTATAGAACTCCCCGAAGATGGCCATCGCTGTAGTTCTGGGAGCCCAACACTTCACTTTCTTGTGCCATACACTTTTTGAGATGTATAGTAAATAGAGATCCAGGGGGTATCATGCACCTCCTTGGACTTGACTCAGTGTGACTGCGCTTTTTACAAAAAGGAGCTGGATTCCTGGAATAGAATTTAAACTATGAATTTATTAATGAGATAGTAAACCCAAAACCAAAAATGTAATATAATTGCAGCATGCCAATCATTACATTTGGTGGCTGCATCTGTTTCTTTTCTTAGTGTTTTTTCCCTATTTTTACCCGGTGATCTGCTCAGTAATACATCTCCTGTATTAGAGTGCCTCCACTCCAGATGAAGGAGCATAGGGGGCACCTTTGGACAGCAGCATTGTCAGTTTGATGGGAAGGGGAGTATTAGATTTAATAACAGATTTAGATACACTAACAAATTGAAGCCAAACTCCAGCTAATACTTTATAAGCAAATTTTGCTTTTGGGGTAAAGGTTTTACATTAAAAAAAAAAAAAAAAAAAAAAATCACCCGTCATTGTTAAATGGCTTGTCTCAACTCTAACTAATACATTCAGCTGGAGAGAAAGAAAGAAAGAAAGAAAGAAAGAAAGAAAGAAAGAAAGAAAGAAAGAAAGAAAGAAAGAAAGAAAAAGAAAGAAAGAAAGAAAGAAAGAAAGAAAGAAAGAAAGAAAGAAAGAAAGAAAGAAAGAAAGAAAGAAAGAAAGAAAGAAAGAAAGAAAGAAAGAAAGAAAGAAAGAAAGAAAGAAAGAAAGAAAGAAAGAAAGAAAGAAAGAAAGAAAGAAAGAAAGAAAGAAAGAAAAGAAAGAAGACTTACTGGCTGGATCACCAAATGAAAATAAAAGAAAGCCTAACAACAAGAAATGAACGCAGCCATTACATCTAAGAAATCGTAATCTACAATGTAATAAATGTGTGCTTATGGGTTTAAGACCAGTTTAATGAGACAATCACATTTCTGCAACTGGGCAGCGTGAGCAAAAGCGTGCTCAGTCTTGACCCACAGAGAAACATGCTGCACTTTATCAGATGCGCAGAAGCGACATAAATTAATGGCACCCCACGTATTAGCAGTTGTAAATCGATTTTGCATGCAAAACAAGTTGTATTTGCTATCTTTAGATATTTTGCCAGCAATATTCATAACACAAAACACGATTATGTTCCTTCAAAGACAAGCAAGTTGAGACTAACTTAAAACATAGCATGGAGACCCAAGTACCAGATAAAGCATAAATCAGTACATAGAAAAATATTCCCCTAAACATAAATTAAAACACAAGTAGCCTAATGAAGCTCAAATGCTATACAATGCCAGCTGTATATAAAAAGTACAAGTAATTTACCTAACGGTTTCCTCTGCTACTGTAGTCTCTACACTTTGCCTTGTTAGGTTTGCATAGAGCAGGGAGGGTTTAGAATGTGTTCTAAATGGTTCACATGACACACTGCACGGCATGCACACAAACATAGCAACATACTGTATTAGCAGTACTTGCAAAGTTTTTGGGCTGTAATCCAACTTAATGCACAAAAAAAAAAAAAAAAAAAAAACAATTAGTGAGTGCTGCAATATTGTGCAAAACGTAACAGCACACATCATGCACTACAGTATAAATATGCCGTTAGGATCACTGTCTATCCCTTTTGGGGAGATTTACATAGACAGCAATAAAAACCTAACCTGAACTCCTCTAAAATCCTCTAAAATTACCTTATAGATCATGCTGTTTTAGAACAAAATACCTACTTTTCAATAGCCTCAGGAACCAACTTCTTCCACTGAAAAACAATTGATTTAGCAAAATCTCCCACTTCAGTATGTTTTCGGAAGCCATTTACGGTTTTGCCTACTCCAGTTTCCTTAGATAAAAAAAAAAAAAAAAAATGTTAACCCGTGCAATTCAGATGTTAAAAGCAGTCAATAAAAAGGTATTCTGCTTTAACTGCTATCCCTGCTTATGTACCAATACACCAAGCTCCACAAACAAAATTCCCTCTGTGCTTCTAACCACAACATGTTTAAAGCTGAAATTTAGCTATGGCTATTTTTTTTTTTTAAGTGTTACATTGGTCCAGTGTGCATGTTCCATATCTGGCTTATCACCTTAACCTGTAATTTATGCAGCACATAGACTTCTGCTAGGTCTGGGTAAATGCTGCTCTCATCTCCACCTTAATCTGTAATTTCTGCAACGCACAGACTTTTTGCAAAACTCAGAACAATTAGTGCATATCTTTTTGTCTGTATGTGCCGATTGATTCTCACCTCCGCTTGCATCTCTTTTATGACTTTGGTTGGTCTGTCTTTCAGAAACCCCCCCCCCCCCCCCCAATTCATGTGATCCTGATCAGTTCCCAATTGGGGCAGAGAAGAGTTGCTCATTTGACCACCAGTCAGACAGTGAGTGTGTTTGATGCTGGAGTGTGAAGATGCAGTTGAACACAGCAGTTTAATTAAAGCAGGATAACTCAAGCAGCAGGAAGATACAACAAAGAACTCTACTGCACACTGGATGGACTGCAAGCAAACACCCTGGGAAACATCTCCTACAAGTCTGAGTCCCACTCCATGTACTTTTTAATATGCCACCTCTACTCTTCATATTACTATCCTGTGTTCCCAAAATCTAATTTCTTTACCCCTCTGCTCCACTCCATAGCTTAAACATCTCATCCTCACTGCTACCATCTCCTTACTACTGCTCTCATCACCTCCTGCTGATACTTTACTCACTTGCTGACCCAAACACCAGGACAGGAAGGCATGTGCACTCATATACATCCCATTCCCACCTTACTTTCTTCACCCTCCTTCTCCTAACCTCTGGGGATATCTCCCCAAATCTGGTCCTCCACTATCTCACCCCCACACCTGGCACCCTCTATCTTCCGGGAATAGTCGCAATCCGCTTAATTTAAGATCAATCCCCATGCTCCCAAAAACCACCCTCCCTTTTTCATGTGCACTCCAAGCAGCAATCAATTACCCACAGAAACCTTCACAACTTTAACCCTTCTCTTTTCTACTCTGCAACTGACCACCTCTATGACAGAATCTCTCCCCTATCCTGCCCTGACCTGGCCACTGCTGTCTACAACAGTTCACTTTCATCCACATTAGACTCACTTGCTCCTCTAACCGCACGAAGCATCAGGCCCCGACCATTACAACCTTGGCAGACTGACGACACCAGAAATCCTGAGACATTTGTCTGCAGAGATGGTTGTTCTTCTGGAAGGTTCTCCTCTATCCACAGAGAAATGCTGGAGCTCTTTTAGAGTGACCATTGGGTGCTTGGTTACCTCCCTAGCTTTTCCCTCAATCGTTCATTTTGGCCAGGCGGCCCGCTATAAGAAGATCCCAGTGGTTCCAAATTTCTTCCATTTACGGATGTTGGAGGCCACTGTGCTCATTGGGACCTTCAATGCTGCAGAAATTTTTCTGGACCCTTCCCCAGATTTGTGCCTTGATACAATCCTGTCTCGTAGGTCTACAAGCAATAATTTGAACTTCATGGCTTGATTTGTGCTCTGTCATGCACGGTTAACTGTGAGACCTTATATAGACAGGTTTATACCTTTCCTAATCCTGTCCAATCAGCTGAATTTCCCACAGGTGGACTCCAATCCAGTTGTAGAAACATCTCAAGGATGATCAGTGGGAACAGGATGCACCAAAGCTCAATTTGTTGTGTCATGGCGAAGGCTGTGAATACTTATGTACATGTGTTTTTTTTGTTTTAGTAAATTGCGAAAAGATTCCACAATGAACTTCTTTCACATGGTCATTATAGGGTATTGTTTGTTGAGGAAAAAAATTAATTTTATTCCATTTTGGAATAAGACTAACATAACAAAATGTGGCAAAAGTTAAGCGCTGTGAATATGTTCTGGATGCACTGTACATTTCAAAAGTTTTGTACACCCAAGAAAGACTGCATTACACGAATATGGAACATTTTTGTCAATACTTACCACAAGAATTTCCAATGTAATGTCAAGCTCTTGCAAGCTTTTGAGAGTTTTGGAAATCTATTTTCGAATAGGAGAAAGACAAGTTGTTATAGTAATAACAAAAAAGATTTGGCTTGAACATTTTTTACTCATGTAAACCAACTTTTGTTCTTTTTGTAAATATGTGAGCATGCTACAAACAAGCAGCTCCAACATTTCATTCACTTTCAAAGTGTATTTGTTCTATTATGAAGTTCTATATTAAGTGGTATAAATAAGTCCCGCTCCACTTCTCTGGAATTTTGGAGTCATTGGGAGAGATCTTCAGCTTAAATTTAGAATTTCAGAAGACCAAATAAAAAAAAAAAAAAAAAAAAAATGTAGCCCTTTCCTATAAATCTTCTATTTGTAGCACGTATCAGGAGATACTTGCTCCAATGCATGTATCCTACTGTTAGACACCTATTGGAGCTGCGATTCAGAGGCGACATGATACACATCTTGCCCAAAGCTTCAACCATTTTGGAAACTCCAGAAAGTTTACAGACTGCTCTATTCCCCCATACTCCAGGATTTTTTTTTTGACAATTCTATCATCCCACAAAAAGAATACAAGTGATCATTTGTTAAACACCTGGTTAATGCAGCTCACTCTTGTATCACCACATTATGAAAATCCCCCACATTGCCCTCTTTATCACTCTTGTTCTAAAAGATCGACGATATGAGGATGATGGAGAAATTGATGAGTGTTGTGAAAGGTATAGAGGAGGAAACCTATAAATTGTGGTTTCACTGGACAGTATACTCTCGCACCACATAATTCCAACAAATTTATGCCAACTGAGTACGAGGTTTTGGTTTTAGCCCCATGTGGTACTTGGTGGTCTTGAGGTCTTAAAGTGGTTCTAAAGGCAGAAGGTTTTTTTTACCTTTATAAAATCTTTGCATGAAGGTAAGGTAAAAAAAAAAAAAAAAAAAAAAAAAAACACTTGTGTGCTGCTCCCCCCCACAGCCCCCCCAATACTCACCTGCTCACCTGAGCACCTGCTCGATCCAGCGCTGTGCACAAGAGCCTCAGCTGTCCCAGGACTCCCTCTCATCATTGGTAAAGACAGCAGTGTGAGTAATTGGATCACACATCAGTGCCCCCCATAGCAAGCAGCTTGCTACTGGGGACACAGTTGAAGAGGGAGGAGCCAGGAGTGCCATAGGGACCCACTAAGAGGAGGATTGGGGCTGCTCTGTGCAAAGCCACTGCACACTGCAGGTAATGATGTTTTTATTTTTTTTAAAAACAAACCTTTAATACCACATTAACAGCCCTTCATACTGTAATGCTATGCTTTGAGAAACACTGCATAGTCATATCCATAACAAACAAGTTGGAGAGAGACTCTGGGGAGTGATACCGACCAAGGGGAGGGGAGGAGACTACATCCCCTTTTTTTTTTTTTTTTTTTCTCCCTGACCTTAGGCCTTCCTGTGCTATACTGTATAACCCTAGGGTACAGATCCTATTTCAGTGAGTTCTGTTTCAGACACAGTTTTGAGTGGTACATTTAATGTGCTTTTGACACTAATCTACATAACCTTGCAATCTTACTCTTACCCATACAACCCCACATATTGCTATCCTGTCTAATAGAAAACCTAACCAGAACTATGTTTTATTTTCTTTTCTGAAAAGGATCTAATATTTTGAATGGTTTAGATTTTGTGTAAAGATTTTATAAAACATTAATAAAGAAGTGTTCTAAACACAGACCTAGGCTCTCCAGGCACATAATGTTTCAATTTAGAATACCAAGAGGATTGGAAGTGCTGAACTTCTTGAGATATTACCAAGACGCACAAGTTGCTCAGCTAAAAATATTGTGCTAACAACAAGACACCACTTTGGGTCAAATTGGTAGCAGTGCACCACTGTATTCACAACCTTCTGTGGCTACATCCCACTGATAGAAGCAATCCAATCCTATAACATGACACTCTTTGTAACTCTAGGACAGCAATGGGCAAACTACGGCCCGCGGGCCGTATACGGCCCTGCGGACCTTTTAATCCGGCCCGCGGAGCGCGATACTGTTAGGGTGGCTGTCAGGATGTGTGTAGGCGGGGCAGCGTGACGAACGTGAGGGGAGCTAGGCTCCTCTCACAGTCTGCCCTGAAGACCGGAACGGCGCGGGAACATGGCGAGAGGAACGTGCGGAGCAAAGGTAAGTAAATTGACACAGGGGGGGACTTGGCTTACTACTTGGGGGGGAATAGTACTATGGGGGATGAAATACTATATGAGGGATGAATTAATATGGGGGATGAATATGGGGAATTAATTACTATATGGGGGATTAATTACTATATGGGGGATTAATTACTATGCTTACTATGGGGGAATATTACTATACTTACTATGGATGACACATA